GTTTCGTTTAGTTAAATGTACGATACTTGCATTGCCTTGGTCGTTGACGAGTGCCTGGATGCAGTCTCGGATGAAAGTCTTGATGGTTTCAAGGTTTTGGACTTGCGATCACGTTCTTCCGGGTTTGAAGAGTGATGAATTCCAAAGATTCGATGGTGATTGGGAGTTTCTTCCCAGTGGAAAGTGAGAAAAAGAGCTAAGAGAGACATCAGCTGAGATCCTAGGATCTTTGGTGAATGTAAAGTCAAGGCCGAGGCCTGGCAGGAACTTAGGGTGTCCTTAGAAGACTAGCCCAGCATCCCCATCTTCTCAGAATCTAACAGAACCGCAGACTGAAGACTTAGTAGAAAAAGAAACTCTGGGCGGAACTGTGCATGGGCCTTTTTAAAGTCTGAGAAGATTCCCGCCTCTTAGGATGGGCTTGTCCAATGAGAAAGGCTGAAATTCCAAGCGGGAGGTTGGAAATACTGGAGAGTTTTACGGCCCTTTGTCTGAGAGCATGGTCATTTGCATATGGAACTCGATTAGTTGCTGATGCAAAATTACTAAAGATTCTTAGAACACTAATATGTTGCATAGGTATAAACATATAATATACACTCTCAATTAGATCATCTGAAGACGAATTCATAGAGACCAAACATGGTATATGTAAGGTTACATGAATGAGTGGTTCTATCATAAGCATGCATAAAACAGTATACAATACAAAAGACAATATACAAGAACAGTAACAACATACACAATGACCTGAAGTATATGTGTGTTCATTCAAAGAAAGGTTTTCCTATGAATTAATTAGAGAAGAGTCCATTTTTATGGGCATTATGTGTCTGTTTTAGAGAGACTTGAGTAAGAGTTGATTTTCTCTATACATACTTTTAGGTCGTAAAAGTATATCTGATCTGGCTGAGGGGTCCTGGTTGCCATGGTAACCAGGGGCCTGGGATCATTCACAGACATGCTGGCACCCAGTATGTTTATTGGGTGAGGGGTCTGTGATTATTTGTTAATCTAATGAATAATTGATTTGTTAAATCTAATGAACAAATGTGTGTCTGATTGGTCCAAATGCTACAAGTGTATAGAAATCACAATAGTTTCCTCAAAAAATTAACAATTAAAATGTAAGTTTTTTTAAGGCGGCACATGAACATTCACATGCAAATGACATTTGTAAAATGTCACAATGAGACTCTCTGTCTTTCTGTCTCGCTGTGTGAATGTCAGAGGCAACTCTTATACTCGTGCCCAAGCAATCTTGTGTCACTACTGACCCAGTTCTAGTACTGCACATACACATTTACAGTGTTGTTTTAATGTCAGCATTGTAAAATGTATGTTTTTTTTTTGAAGTAAGAAAGATAAATTATAAAATTTACTAATAATGAACTATATAATTACAGTTTAAATCCCAAAGGTCCCTGTGTGGATTTACTTCATTATTTTTATGTTACCCTGAGAATGGTTTGTCTTTGTGTGTATGACACTGTGCACCATCTATATGTGAGTTTTGGCCACAGTTTATGAACTGTGTGGATGAACTCTACAATCTCAACTCTACTCTCTAAAAATATACAGGCAACAGAATTCTGTCTGATAATTTCTAAAGCATTCACAAATGTGAATTTCTGCATACCACAACTGATGAAAAGATGGATTTTAAAATTACACAGTCACTGCTGGAAAGTTTTTAAATATGCAAAAGATGCAGGAAAACCAAAGAATTTGCGGGATCTAGAGGATTTTTCTGAAGAATAGTGGGCAGTTTCACTGTTCAGAATAAACTAGGGACTTATAAACAACCATCACAAAACAAAAATCATCTAGAAAACAACACAAAGTATTAAGAATCAAGTGTATGTAAACTTTTGAACAGGGTCATTTTTATAAAATCAGCTGTTAGTTTGTTTTCTGGACTATACACTATGTAAACACATTTTATGTAAAATATCTTATTCAGGCCAGTACTAAATAAAAAACAACACATATTTTGTATGATCCCTCTTATTTTGGTCAGATAATTAACATTTAGCAGATTCTGCAATTTTTGACCACAACTGTATGAAATGTCTGTGTGAAAGAGAAATGAACATTAGTCCAGCCCCTTTTTTTAATAAGAGAGAGCTGCTTTTAGTTTTGACCTCATTTTAGGCTGTGTGTCATGTGGGCAGATTAGGGCCTGGTCTGTCTCTCATGAGTAGATCTGAGCCCAGTGACCTCACTGAATCTCAGTGTGTGTGTGAAGGCTGCTGGCTCTGTGTTACTTGGTGGGAATTGTAATATGGCACGTTTACAAGAATCTGTGTGTGCCGCCCTCAAGTTAGCATGCATGTGAAATGCTAATAACATATTATTAAGATGCAGATTAATCCAGAAATCCAATCTCTGTGCAGATAACACCTGGAATGATCAGAGTCTGGAGCTGGACTCCGATCTGCCTCCAGGATGGCGCACTATACGTGACAGCACTGGCACCTATTACTGGCACGTGCCCACAGGCACAACACAGTGGCAGCACCCCTCCTACAGCGCAGAGGAGGAACAAAACGCCATTAACGGCATCACTGCCAGCCAGATCAAGGTGAGATACTCTGATCTATGTGTGTGTGTGTCTGTGTGTGTGTGTGTGTTTATGTGGTTTTGTGTCATTTTTGTCAGCTGTCACATCCCTATACTCTTGATTTTCTCAGACTGCAGCAGATGGCAGGCGGGAATCAAGAGGCAGACTGAGTGAAAACCCTCTGCCGTCTCTGAGCGAAAGGTGAGGGAATCACACCTGCGCTGATGACTGTACAGCTGAGGACAAGAGTTAGAAATATTCCAGGTTCAATAGATCGGAATGTTGTTCCAGGATAATGACTGGCTGTAAAACATTCCACTTATTACACAGCATCTTGCCTTTTGAGTTAAAATATTTTATTATGTGAGAACAGAGAGACTGTAGAGTGCTTCAGCAGACATCTTTTATTTTATTTTATTTTATTCAAAAAAATCTCAACAATATCAATAACCAATGAGATGAGATATCAATGCTTATTAATTTATTTTTAGGGCTAGATTTACTAAACAGAACAGAGCACAAATTCTTAAAAACACTGATGGGAGTGAAAAGTTCTACTGACAATGCGCAAATTAAAGAGCACAGATGCTGCCAGATCATTTCTATAATCATCAACACAATCTACCAAGAGAAGCGCAAATTAGTTACTATTAGTAATTTAGTTATTAATTTACAAACAACACAGGATAAAAATGGGTTAAGACATGCTTTTTTATTTGTTAAATAATGGGGCAAATACAAGTAAACTGAATACCGCAAACCTTACTAAATCACTATTGCAAGTCAAAATTATGACATACTAAGTTGAAACGGACTTTTTTTTAAAATCTCATAATTATGACTTAGTATGTCATTATAACAACTTTCAAAGTCATAATTTAGCTGCTTTTTTGTCATAATTTAAACTTGGTATGTCATAATTTCAACTTTTAAAATCATAATTATGACTTAGTATGTCAAAATAATAACTTTTAAAGTCATAATTTTGACTCATTAATTTGTCATAATTTAGACATACCAAATTATGATTGTTTTTGTTCGTACATGGTAGAAATGGGCTTCCATAATATTAAATGGAGAGCAATATTTACTTAAATCTCCTGCTTCTCAGATTTTTCTTGTGAGAAAAAGACCCCAGTAATTAACCATATTATATGTTAACAGTCTCATTCATGCCCATTTTTATGTCTGCTAAGGAAATTGAGGAGAAACATCTGAGGCGAAGTTGACAAAGTAGAAAAATGGAAGTATGAAAAAGAAACCTTTAAGCTATGCAGTTTTCTTCTGCTTAGTTGCACAGTTCAATGGTCAGTTTTTAACCACATCATCTTATGTTTGACCAATCAGAATTAAGTTTTCCAGAATGCAGTGTAATAAACAGTTTCCACGTATTTAATGAAAGTCATAAGGGACATGTCTTCAAAGTTCTTTTTATACTACTGAATAGTTTGTTAAAATGTGTCAACAGCCACAAAATAATTTGGTAAAAATGTGTCTCCTACTAATTTGTTGCAATGCTGGGTGTAGTAACACATTACCCATGGACTGTGTCAATTTGCATCCTTGATGTAAATTAAACTCTGGCACAGCTTAGCAGCCAGACACACACACACACAAGCTTAGCCAAATTCTCCTTCTGGTGCTGGAAATGAAAACAAAAAGCCTTTTCTCTCTGTTTCCCCTTTTGTTTAATCCTTTAATGAAGCCAGAAGACATTTATTTGAACAAACACATTCTTATACCTGAAGGTGGTATTACACACCTGGAGTTCTGTGAACAGATGTCGTCTCCACTGGCTGCTAGTGGAAATGACGAAAGCGGCCCTGCTTTAGACAGCCAGTCAGGTGTGGCCTGTACAACTGTAAGATGGAGAGTAAAACAGGCCGTTTTGCCTTTGGCTAACCTCCAAACACTCTGATATCAGGCCATAAGGCCCCAGTTACACTAATGCTCGAACAAAAGCGAGCACTCACCTGGGGAATTGAGAACATTGAGAAGAGTTTTCCATCACTTTGTGGTGCTAAACATGGTCTTTGCCAGTGAAGGACAAAATACTGTACACACATTCATTTAACGGGCTGGAACGTGCCCTTATTAAGTGTCAGGTTTGTCATTGACTGACCTTTCTTCTGAATTTGTTCGGAGAGCTGAGATTGGCTGCTGCTAAGTTGTTTGGGAATTGTTGACAGCTACAAGGAATGCAATTACCTTCACTTATTTTGTCAGCACCTTCAGGCAGCAACATTAGATTCTGGCACATTAGGTTTCTGTCCTCAGTATATGTTAAAGTGCACTGTTTGTGTACTTGAGCAGAATAAAAATGAATCATTTATTTTTCATTTAATATTCAGTTAAATTACTTATTCAGCTTAATTTGTTTTTCAGTTTAATGTATTATTTAGTTTTAATAAATGATTATCTTTTTTTTTTTTTTTTTTTTCCCATGAAACAAAGAAAGTGTGTATATTGCAACAATATCAATAACTGTAATCAGATACTAACTTTTAAAATAATATTCTGTTGAATTTAACTATCCATTTTTTATTTGATTTGATTTGATTTGATTTGATTTTGAGACAAATACCCAGTCTAGGGCTTTTCATTTTATAGCTCTATACTATATAATTTTCCTCTACACTCTAAAAAATGCTGGGTTAAATATAACCCAGCGCTGGGTTAAAAAGGGACAAACCCAGCTATTGGGTTGCTTTGACTCAGCGGTTGGGTTGTGTTGAAGCATTTTTTAGAGTGTACAAGACCACTGTTCATTATAGGTAGGAAGTATACGCAAAATGCTGTGACTTGTTCATAAGAATCTATGCACAAAGCTGAGAGTGATAATTATAGGAGATGTTTTTTGTTTGCAGGACAAACTACCCCGGCGGTCTGAATATAGTCTTTTCTAGAGCATAAATGAAAGTGCTTTCAATAGAACACCAAACAGAAAAATAACCAAGTGTTCAGCATCTCAGGACTTAATTTGTATTCCTGTTTATATTTTTTTTGCTCAAATGAGCACAGTATTTAATTATGAGTCATTATCATAATGATGTGCTCTCTTGCTCTGCTTCAGGCCCTCCTGGCAGGAAGAGTATTTCTGTGCCAACGTGGATCCAGACTCCAAGGTAGAATCTTGCTGTGTGCTGCCCTAATACTGTTCAACATGTAAAATTTATTACTGTTTTCTCTGCTATTAGTCACTGTGCCCAACAAATATCACACCGAAAAGAAATGCAGAGCACATCCTGAGGTAACCACTGAGGGTGAAAGGTCAGAGTTGCAAAGGAGCATCAATCAGGGCATGTTTAGTGATGCAGTAGGGTGTATATGTGCATGCGTGTTGGTGGAGTGTATGTAGAAGGTGGGGGTGGAGGGCTAAGACCTCTAAATGCACAAGAGATGCAATTTTAAGACACAGCTTTATTGAGTCTGTGTAAAATGATCCTAGCAGGCTGGGTCATAGATATATGCTCTGTACAAAACATTTCGACTTCCATCAGTCACCAGGCTGGTAAACGTTAACTTGCTGATTTGATTCCTAGGAGTGAGCTATGAACAATTATCAGTGTGCCTCTTGTTGTAATGTGTACTGTGAGTCACATTTGATAAAAGCATCTGCTAAATGACTACTTGCTTACTAAGAAATATTTAGGTATGACAGTATGAAACATCTAAATGGATGTTGTCCAGAATGTCAACATGAATTACAGGCCAAACGTATGCGACGCCACCCTTCTTATTAAAGAGTTTGGTATAGAAAGCTCTTTTCAATTTAGATTAACAAACAAAAACGTTCTATTAAATTTCTTATAGTTGTGAAATCATATCTCACAATTTTGACAATATATGTCATAGCTGTGACTTTAAATATCACAACATGATTTCATTTCTTGTAACTGTAAGTTTATTTCTTGTAATTCATGACTAAATATCTCATCATTTTGACAATATATGTCATAGCTGTGACTTTAAATATCACAATGACAATATCACAATCATTTCTTGTAATTGGGTTTTTCTTGTAGTTGTGACTTTTTATCTCGCAATTGTGACATTATTTCTTGTAATTGCAACTTTATTTCTTGAAATTGTATAACTACATGTCATAATTGAAGCTTTATATTTTACAGTTGTGACTTTAAATATCACAATATGACTATTTCCTGTAATTTTGACTATTTCTTGTAATTGTGTGACTATATATTTCACAGCTGTGACTAAATATCACAATGACTACTACTTGGATTGTGTCTATTTTTTATAGTTGTGACTTTAGATCTTGCAATTGTGGCTATTTCTTGTAATTGCTCATTTATTTCTTATAACTATAACTTTATATTACAGTGTGACTTTATTTCTCACAGTTGCAACTGTATCTCTTACAATTGTAACTGTATCTCACAATGTAAATTTAAATCTCCCAATATACCTAAGAGTGTACATGTTTTTATTTTAACTTATGTCTAGCCATAGAGTGGAAAGTCTTAGGGAGATTAATGGATTTATCAACAAGTGTCAACTTATTTTTGCCTTATATTGTATGAGTGCTGTTAGGAAAAACTCTGCCTTTGTCTTTCAGTGTTTTGCTGTGCGCTCACTGGGCTGGGTTGAGATCCCTGAGGAGGAACTGACCCCTGGCAAAAGTAGTCTGGCGGTGAACAACTGCATCCAGCAGCTCTCTCACAGCAAAGCAGAGGGCCAGGACGCAGTGGGCGCCTGGGGAGAGGTTAGAACAGCCTGGGCTCATACACGTGACTTAGAATAGATGAGATGTGCTTAGCCGGGGCCCACCAGTATCCTTGGAGGTCCGCTGGATTAATTCAGACATGCGTAATAGCAGTACTAGTGTGCTAGCTCTGCAACAGCACAAGAAATTGTTATATACTGCTGAGTGTTGCATATTTTACAATCCAGTTTGAATTATATTAAATTAGCTCAGCTTAGTACAGTTAGCTCTTACAGAAGGTTATGGTAACTATTCAACGCATGTGTATATGTATGTGTGTGTGTGTGTGTTCAGGGTCAGGATATGATGATGGTCCTCAAGAAGGACACTCTCAGTCTAATGGACCCTGTGGACCGCAGCCTCATCCATTGTCAGCCCATAATCAACATCCGTGTATGGGGGGTGGGCTGCAACAATGGCAGGTAGGCTGACCTTTGTACTTGTTCTATTTCTGGGTCTAATATTCCTCAGTTTTTCCCATTTTCAGTGGTATCAAAGATGAAATCTGGATTTCCGCAGAGACTCTGTTCACTACAGTTTAACAGAAAATGTATAAGCCTGGAAAATGACAAATGGCCAATAAATCCCTTCAATTCAGTTATATTTCCTCATTCAGTGACAGGCAGTGACAGGTCTGTCAAAATGTAGAGCTTTTTTAAAATTTATTTACAGCCAAAGTGAAGCCCAGTGTAGCTATTTTTAATTTAGTTGTGGCTTTCCTATAAAACACAGAGATACTGAAGGTGAATATTTGCAATCCAAGCTATAATACGACATGTTTTGCATGAAATGTGTTGCTTTTGTTTTTGATTTGTGTGTTGTTAAAAGCTGTAACTGGCTAGAGAGTAGAGTAGCTCCCCTTTGTGAAAAAGAAGTATACTTAATTGTATTGAATGTGAAAGTCCTGAAAGTGTATTTTTTAAAATAATGTACTTGCAGATAGTATAATAATAATGAAATAAAGGGCCACTTAAAGGGATAGTCCATACAAAAATTAAAATTCTGACATCTTATACCCATCTAAACCTATTGAAGTCATACATATTGTAGTCAGTGGGAGACTAGTCACTAGCATTCTTCAAAATATCTTCTTTTGTGTTCAGCAAAAGAAAGAAATGAATACTGGTTTGGAAAGACATGAGGGTGAGTAAATGATGACAGAATTTACATTTTTGGGTGTACTATCCCTTTAAGTCATTTATTTTAAAGTATATTATTTTCTTTAACAAGTACTCTTTTAAAAGTATGCTAAATGCACCTCTTTTTCACAATAGTCTTGAGCTTGCAAAAACGTTTCTCGCGTTTTTGCGTTATTTTAACTATTATTAACCTTTTTTTCCTTTTTCTTTTTTAAACCGCCACTCGTGAAAACAGAGACAGGTAATAACTGCACTTTTTTATTTTTTCAACTAGACCTAGAAAACATGTCTCGTGGTGTCTGGGTACCATTGTGGTCTATGAAGTACAGTAGTGCTCCTTAGCCATGTTTTCTTTCATTCCTTTACCGTCATGCTTCATCTCATGTTGTGTAATTTGTACTAAATGCAAAATATATCATAAAATACAATGTTTTTGCATTGACTGAAGTATCAGTCAATTATGCTGAAGTACTAAATGCAAAAAATATCATAAAACAACTGTTTTTTCATTGACTGAAGTATTGCTTTGCTCTGCACGTTTCCAGAAAAGCCTTCCCCAGTGTTTAAACAAACAATAAATGCAGATGATTCTTCCATGATTAACCAATCAAAGCCTAATTTGAGGGATTTATTTAAATTGTTTGGACATAGGGGGTGGGTAACATCACTAGTTTGTAATGCAACCATCAGTAGAGCATGTTGGCATGTGCCAATGAGAGATAGTCTTTGCTAGATGAGAGACATTTAAACCTTACTTATATTGTGACAATGTGCTCAGATCCAAATCCCAAAATAGACCCTTTCAGTCTAAATAGCTCCCGATTGCCGTGTTCACATATGCCCAAACGAACCGAGCTAAGGGGGGAAACGCGCCAGGTTCCGAAACAACAGGCCATGTGTGAAAGCACCCTAAGTGTAAGTGTGGAACCCTGGACTCTTTCATTACTGAGATCTGCATGGGCTGGTATAATAACTCTGTATTCACACAGTGAAGGTTTCCAACTCTCTCTTTACTGCCCAGACAAATTCATTTGTTATTCCATTTGACTTGCATGTTTTCTCTTCAAAATTGGGAGTAAACGAGTGCTGGATTTCACAAGCATTGGTATGCTGTGTGAGCTTGAGCCACAGGCCGTATGAAGCACCACTGCTCTATATTTCTCCAATGTAATATTCATGAATGAAATATTCTCTTTGATGGAGGCAGCATGCAGCATTAGCTGAAGAATCGGTAGGCCCACGTCACTGCGTTGCATTTTGGAAAATCATACTGCCCAGAAATGCCGATCGATCTGTATTTATAGAACACTGACATCTGATACTGGCGAGTACAGTCAGCTAAAAGAGACGTTCTATGGTTAATGTGAAGAGATTTAGTGAATAACAAGATAGGTTGTAAATCTAGCTAACAAAATATATATTGTGTGTTTGATTGGTCCAGACGCTACAAGAGATTAGAGATGGTTTAGCGTCACTTTGTAAATACCCAGCTGGCCAAAGTCATTTCCAGCTTGCAGTGGTTTTTGTCCTATTTTATTTTAGCATTTTACTCTCAGAAGGGCTGCTCACTACTGTGGCCTTTTAGCATGCTTATGGCAAAGTCAAATGCAACTGAATCATCATGGTGCCACAATTATATTTTAAGTGTCAAAATAAGATTTTATTCTATTATACAGAATATGATATATACACTACTGTTTAAAAGTTTGAGGTTTGTTTAAATTTTTTTTTTTTATTATTCAGCAAGTATACATTAAATTGATCAAAAGTGACAGTAAATGCCTTAATAATGATACCAAAGATTTCTATTTCAAATAAATTCTTTTGAACTTTCCATACATCAATGAATCCTGAAAAAAAGTATCAGTTTCCACAGAAATATTAGGCAGCACAACCAAATGTTTCTTGAGCATCAAATCAGTAAATTAGAATGATTTCTGAAGGAACATGTGACACTGAAGACTGGAGTAATGGCTGCTAAAAATCAGCTTTGTATTATGGGAATAAATTACATTTTAAAATATTTTAAAATAACAAACAGTTCTTTTAGATTGTAACAATGTTTAACAATATTGCCGTTTTGCTGTATGTTTGAACAAATAAAGCAAGCACACAATATTGTAGGTATATAGGTATCAAAATAAAATGTATTGTGAAAAGCTCTTTTTCTTCCTTAACCATCCTTTTCATGACCATAAATGCATTCATGTGACAGATTATATATATATTTACTATTTTTGTGTGTGTGTAGGTTTAGTGTTTCTACCAGGCTGTTAGAATAAGCATGAAAGTGACTGTGATGAGTATTTACTCCAGTCTCCTGGTCCTCTTTAGGGACTTTGCCTTTGTGGCCAGTGATAAAGACACCTGCATGCTCAAGTGCCATGTGTTTCGCTGCAACGCTTCAGCCAAGACAATTGCATCTGCCCTGCATGAGATGTGCTCCAAGGTAAGATCACACAATCCTATTAAAGCTCATAATTAATATAATTTCATAATTAAAAATGGCCAGATTTCAAAGTCAGTGGATTACAGCGTTTATTCTGATTGGTCTGTTTCCACAGATCATGGCAGAGAAGGCAGCACTGCAGCCTTTGACTCGTTCTCTCACCATGGAGAGTATCTCCCCAGAGGACTTGCCCCGCCAGGGTATGACTTCTGCAGTCTTTTTGAGAAATTGGCATCTCTTAAACCCGAATGGTTGACTCTACTGTTGTATTCTTTCATGAGACTTGATGTGTTTGAATGCTTTCCAGTTGACTTCCTGGAAACAGTGAGGCAAAGGGTGCAGAAGTTTGAGGTGGAGTACATTGGAAACCTGCCTGTATCCAGAGCAATGGGTGAGTGGGTTTTGGACCATTCAGATACTTAATATTAAAGGGGTCATATGATGCGATTTCATTTTTTCTAATCACAACGCACTGGATAGCTGGCTAATCAGAGCACACCTCGCTTTTCAGACCGATTAGTTTTGTAAAAATCGACGCGTTTCAGAAAGGCGGGGCATAAAGGAGAAACAATAATGAATGTACAGTATGTGGAAAATAATGTGTTTTTTTAACTTTAAACCGCATAAACACATTTCATTACACCAAATACACAAAATAATGTTCTTTTTAGCAGCATCATATGACCCCTTTAACACAGTTTACACTCTATGAATGAGTATTTGCTGAGTTATGCTCTGTAATACTCTTACAAACTAGGACCAAATACTTCATGTTTGGCATATGGTAGGATCCTGGCCCTCAAGTTTGAATTAAAATGTTACGTTTAAAACATTTTCGAAGTGTCAAACATGAGTACAACCGATTGTGGATCCAATTTGGACCAGTATCAAACAGTTTTAGGAGTTAAGACTTTCTCACTGAAGACCAGTGGTTTTAGCTGGCTATTAAAGATTAATATTTAAAACCAGGTTAATTGTTATTTTGGTGGCTAATGTATAGAGACCTGGAAACCCTAGCTTAAATAGTCTTCAAATATGACCCTGTTTGTGACATATTGTATAGGTTTGTGGTTAATGTGTTTTTGTGTGTATGCTGACAGGAATGGAAGTGTTGAACAGAGCTATTGAGAGCATCATGCACTCCAGAGACAGAGATGAGTGGGAGCCGATAGTCATCCATGTGTCTGATACAGTTCTGTCTTTATGGAGAGGAGAGGTGAGAATATCTACTAAATGACATTGAGGCATTTTAGTGTATATACGGAATATTAGTGTACTGCATACTGCACAATTTGTACTGTATACTGTTTTTTTTTTTTTAAGTATACAATGGATTTTGGAGTAGTGTACAGGAAAATTTGCATACTATGCATAGTACACACACTATATACTACAGAAGTAGTATGAGTAGTATGCTTTTATTAATATAAACATAGTCTTTCTGTGTTTTACTTTTTCTTTCCCATTGGCTTTATTTCAGGATGGAGATGACCCATTTTGGGAATGCCAAGTACGTTACTTGACTTTCCTAGGTGTGGGTCATGACACACACACTTTTGCAGTCATAGTGGATGCAGGAACCCAGCGCTTTGAGTGCCATGTGTTTTGGTGTGAGCCCGATGCTGGGATCATCTCTGAGGCAGTTCAGGCTGCATGCATGGTGAGGCGATACTTTTAATTTAATTGACTTTCACCCTACAGATATCACACACAGCATTCATGGTTTCATAGCAATGATATAGAATTTTGTTCAAAATCTTTAATGTGTTCTAAGTACAGTATTTCTGTTGTAAATGTCTGGCGCCCCCTCCAGGTCCAATACCAAAAGTGTTTGGTTGCACAAACTCCTCCTGTGAGGTCCAAAATGTGGCGGGCAGGCTCCAAAGTCAAACGAGCCAACTCCATGGATAGCTCTAGCTTCCCGCCTCGACACCAAGGACACACACCTTCCAAAATGGCTTCTCCCAGCGTGAAGAAGGGCATGCTGGCATTTTTTGAGACATTCCGGAATAAACATTCTGCAGTATCCACACCCTAACAACAGCAACTCGGGGAGGAGGATGGGGCCTGATGGGCTTTGAGGAGGGGGATATGAGGAGATGGAGAAATGAAAGGAATGAATAAACATGAAGCCTGAAATGCTAAGAAATATGAGTATCCTTTGCCTTTGGCATTTAAAAAAAACAAAACAACTTAATTTCCCCAGTATGACCTCACAAAAAAAAAAAATCCACCTAATTGTCCTTAATAAGAGTGTTTTTGATGATTGACATATCTGAATGTAGGTGTGCAGAACAGCGTTTAAATGACATTGAGGTGCTGTGCTCTCACATTCCAAAAACGGACAGAACTCCAAACGCTCTGTATAATTTAAATGCTGTTATAAAACAGTTACTGTCCTCAAATGTGATTGGTAAAAGGCTCATTTACACGGCACAGACAGACAGGGATTGTCGCATTGGTCGACGTCTGTCAGTGCAGTGTGAATTAGAGTACAAATTCTCTGGGACTTTGTATCACTTCACTTGTCTATTTGTTCCAGACAGACGGTCAGTCTATATATTAGATTTGTCTTTGACTCTTTCTGCAGGTTACACTGTTATGGCAATAGGTGGTGACAAGTGAAGAGTGTTTATGAATCTAGTGGACCTTTATCAAGTAAACTTCTGCTGACCGCGTTACAGTCCGGCTCGTGGACACTCATATGATGTAAGTTTCATCTTCAGCACTGTCCGCTGGTGTTTGTTCACAACATTCAGGTGCTACCCAATGATTGGCTCTGTACAGACTTGTGCACAGACATCACCACATGTGCAAGTGATTTGAGCGCTTGAAACAAATGTCCGAACACATCCTTCGTGATACTTTGAAAGGCTTGCACACTCATCTGTGCATGAGATGGAGCAGAACATGGAAAATGTATACCTGGGCTTTTACTTTTACCTTTACTTTTCAAGCTCTCAAATGTCTTGCACATGGGCTATTGTTGTCACATAACTTCATGGCGAAAAAAAAACCTGTATGTGAACATCGGCAGACTGTGTTAATGACGAAAATGATGTAACGCTGACTCTCCATGAACTGGAGCAGAATGTGGAAAAGTATACTTTTTGCTTAAGTCGTTGAATTATTGACGCAACTGTGTGTTGCTCAGAGACACAACGGTTGATTCTGCTTTCAACTTTTGTCATTGGCTAAGCAATTACAACCTCAGAAATAGAAATGAATCATATCAACATCTAAACTTTCTACGGCCAACAGTATGTCGTGCAATAAGATGTATATCGCAGTTGAACCGAAATATTTTGATTACAAGTATTGATGTACAGTCAGTGACCTAATTCTTGTATGACTAGTAGAAGGTAGAGATTTTCTGTGTAGGTCACATTTATGTTCAGAAAGTAAATTTAGCTTCAAACCTATTAGGAGTGTCCATATATATTAACAGTAAACCGTTTGTGAAAAAGGATGCTGTTTGCTGTTCTAAAATCAAATGAAGCTCAGAATATTCAAGGTCGTTACTCCATCTTGAGCAAACAGAGAGAGTTTTCACACACAACAAACAGACCTCAATAACATAGTGCTATCAGTGCAAGAGTCGTGCTTTAGATAGACCCTGCTTGTGTCACTATCATTCTTTCTATTGTGAGCTCAGAAATGCAGATGAGGAGATATCAGTGACCCCAAACAGAAACATTGCTTGTTATAATCCTTCCGCTTTGTGGAGTCCTCAATTTAGTGCCACCGTTGCATGATTTTGCACACGCTTGGAAATTCGAGGCTTTGCTTGGGTACTTGAGAACACAAGCAGAGTGTGTTGAAGCTTTGAAAACTAGCAAAGTAGGTACTTGGATAATTCAGAAAAAAATCATTTTAAAAACACAGTAAAGGTGCAGTCACATTTGATCTGTGCAAATTTTCAAAGCAAAATCCAGTCATCTCAATAGGAATCCTAACAACTGGGAATTTTGTGTAAGGGTTAAAGTGTTTGTCACGTGGATTCACTGCATTTACTAATAGAAAGCTACTTGGTTTGAGAGTGACTTTTGTGTGAGCTTTATATATTGCTACACTTTTGAAAATAGACAATGGTCCTTTTTTTGCCTGTGAAATTTTGCTTATGTGACTATTACCTTAAAAACATACAAAACATGTGATTTACTCCCAAAGGCAGTGCGAATCTTGATGATGAAGAACCCACAGGAAAAACTGTGGTTTCACTGCAAGAAACCCTTGAGCCAATATATTCGCATTAATTTGAATGTAATAAGCTCTTTCAAAGCACTCAACCGCAGTGCATGTTGATCTGAGATGCCCACAGGCACTTAAGCACCCACACGAATGCCACTGAAGGAAGTTATGTGATGCTATATCTAATATATGCAACTGCTCCTTCCCTTCCCTTACTTACAAAAAAAAACATGTATTATATCACAAATGAACTCAGGTCTCCTTAATGCTAAAACAAAGGGGGAAGTATAGAAGCGGTCGACTCTTCAGCATGTAAGATCATGTACGAGAAGCCTTTAGAAGAAAGTTTGGCTGATAGTCTTAGTTAACGGTCATGTAGCACCTTGTGTTTCTTATTTTTGTCCTATTTATACTCTCTGTAAAGAAATCTTTCTCTATATATTTGCAGTATTTCAGCACAAACTAGGATGTCATGTAAATGGTTTTGTATTATTCTTTGTGTTTGTTATTATTGTTGTTATTAATCAGAATGACATGCCAACCCGAATCCACCATTTGGTGGAGTGTGTTGGGACATTAAACTGCTTGAATCTCTGGCTCTGTTGTCATTCATTTGTGTGTCAGTGTCTTATTCAGATCCCTCTTCTCCTTTCTTTTGTTGAGGGGAAAAGTGTCCAGAACAAGCAAATATTGTATATGTTATTATGTGTTTTACTCCATTGCGTTCTTTCAGATTAAATGTCTTTGGCACTGGTCGAATCCTCGTTTCTTGAGATGGACTCCTCTTGTTTTGTGTCCAGACTCTCATAAATATCTTTAAAATGGAGAAATAATGTTTTAATTATCAGACATTTACTACAAAACAGCATCATTTCAAATACATACTGCTAGAATGGTAACTTCCTCAGGAAACAAACTGAAGGCTGGTGAAAGTGTAAAGACCTTTGGTTTGTCTTGTCTTTGATGGTAAGGGAGATTTGATATGGTTGTGCATATGCAAATCTACAAAATGCGTCCCAGATAAACAGCACATGTCTTTGTATTTTATTGCATTTTGCATTTATCTGATTGTGCGCTTACCCTCATTTCTGTTTTTAAGAGATTCATAGTTCTCTCTTTCGCTCTGTTCAAGCTCTGTAACAAATTAAACAATCTCTTAAAATGTATCACAAAAAATACATTTTATAACTATACAGAAATTAAACAAGCTGTTTTTCAACATGCATCATTAAATGGCGCTTTTAGATTTGTGACCATCATGAATTTACTTATTGTTGCTTGCCTTTTTTGAATGTATGATCAGTAGTTTTTTCAGAACGTAAATTGTTCTCTTCCATCTCTGAATTATGTACACTGGAAAATGAAGTTGATATGCAAATACTCAAACATCTTTATATGAGTGGATTTTTAAAATTTGAATGTAGCTAAAGCAAATGAAGCAAATGAATAATACCTTGCTTTGAGATGAATGTGCCTCCAGTATAAGTAAAGAAAGAACACAGACGCGATGACACCAAGCCACAGTGCTATAGAAATACTGATGAGAGGATCTTTGCCTGATCAACTGTTCTTGACCGTTGCAGTTTCTTCAATGGCAGAATAATTCACTGGGCAACTGAACAAGAATTAAATTAAAAATGTAATGTTGCCTTAAAAATCACAATGTTATGTTATGTCTTTGGTATTCTGCTGTTTTATGTGATAAAGCAAGGTGTAAAATATACATGCACTGGGTCTTGACTCAAATTAAGACCAATTTATGAATGCAAAACCAAGTTGCAGGTGAATGAAATTAAAGTCTTACCTAGAGAATCCTGAGACATCGTTCCAGGTATCAGCAAAGATGTTATGATAATATGTATTATATTAAGATTCAAATAGCTACATTCAGTAACACAGGAATGTATATGATAGAATTTTAATTTGCACAGCAAAGTGCCAAGAATGTGTGGGTGAAGGGTTTTAGTCGGCAGAGAGAAGGAAATAACCAAGAGGTTTTCAGATGACCAGTTGCACAGCACAATTTTTGAAATGCTTTTTTCACTGTGAAGTCTAGCTACACCTCAAACACCTCAGTTTCCTGAGTTCACTTCTCACACATAGGCTAGTGAACAATTTAAAATGCAAATAACCTAATTATTACACTGCCTTGATGTAAACTAGTTGTGTACTCAAAGTTTACTACTGTTATACTTAAAAGTATACTTTTATATACTAGAAAGTGGGCCAATTTAGTCCCAAGGAGTATTGAAATAGTACACTTACAAGTATACTACTAGTACACTGATATTTGTATACTTACTACATAAAGTATACTTAAAAATATACTTGAACTTTACTTAAGTATACTTACTAAAATAAACTTGAAGTATACTACTTTTTGGTAAGGGTAATGACCACATGTTTGACTTTGGTTAATATAGCCTATTTCTCAGGGAGGGTTTTTGGGAAACGGTAATTGTAATTAATAAATGATAGAAAATTATATATGATACTTAGCCCAACCTGACATTTATATCCTTGATTATACCCTATAGCCTACCATTGCTATATTTTCTCTTGCCTGAATGGATGTGTGGTTTTAATGTAGCCTATTTAGCTATCAGACCAGAAAAGAAAAAAAGCTGTGTTCTCACACCTTTGTGTAATTAGACTTTTGAAAACTAACTGAGTGAAATTTTATTTGTCTGTCTAGCATTCATGCAACTCGCACTTTCTATGAGACTTGAGACTGTTTAGACCAAACGATCAGTGAAAGCAACGGCACATTCGGGCAGAAAGAAGGCCGGTAGAAATATTTTTAAACACGAGAAAGGCCAAAAAAGCAACTGAGGGGCGGGAAAGCAACGGAAATGGTCAAATGTCCTTTGCATGTTCATAAGACATCGCGGGCAAACACACACACACACACACAAACTTTGGGTGCGAATAGCTGCCGCCAACGGCACGGACCAATGGAAGCTCAAAGGTGTTTAGGAGCCAAAACGAACTCCCCAAGAAAGCTCGCTTTGGTCATGTTTCGAACTACCGAAACGAACTCAACGAACTTCATTTCGGCCTGATTTTGTTCGAAATGACGTCATATCAGTTCGTTCTTCGATTTCGTTTGTAGCAGGTTTGAAGTATATCGGGGCCTTTACACAGCAGTGACTGCATTTCTTCAAAATTTCCTTACCTCTAAAAAATCTGCATGTTGTTTAAACGGTTTGTGGGTGAATATCCATGTGCCGTTCGAGAACGAGTTAATTTTTTTTGGTATGAAAACCAAGAACTATGTAATATGCCATTTGGGAAAGGTTTCGTAGGTTATAGCCTAATTACTTTGAATAATTTAAATTATATTTGTGCATACATAGGTTACCAGTCATAGGTCTAAACGTTGCTAAATATGGCTGAATTATTAAAGCCAGAGCACTTAAAGGCAGGGTATGTAATTTTTCAAAAACACTTTAGAAAACTGATTCGGGCCGAGCAAAACAAACTTGTAGCCAATCAGCAATAAGGGGCGTGTCTACTCGTGATGTGGAGGAGAGCGCGTTCAGTGCATGGGACGGACATTAGCCGAGCCGAGCGACAGAAAGATAGAGATGGTGGATAAAAAACAAAAGAGGAAAACGTCTGCGGAACGATAAGGCAAGAAGTAGGACCCGTGTAAATATCGGATCAGCTTTCCAGCACTGGAGAGAACTCAAGGAGCGGAGGCCTGCGATCGGACGCCGAGGTTGCTTTGTTTCTTCTCAATAGGTGAGTAACACCGTGTCTACAACAGCTAAAGTCTGCCTACACTGGACACGATCAAACGAC